GACTGACGCAGGGAAATGCAAGCTTCAGATATGTTATAAATAAGACAATTTATTAAAGACTAACAATACAAACATAAACGCAGTGCACCAAACCCCAAGCTAACACAAATATATACAACAAGGTGAAACAAACCCAAACCTAAACTGATACAGATACACAGGTACATACACATATAGAGCACAACGTAATCAGGCAGGCCGGGTCGATAACTATCGGGCAGGTAGGTACAGGAGGAGCAGGCGGAGAGAATGGTCAGGGTCACAAGCCAGGGATCAAAACAGGAGAAGTAGCAGAGGTCCGGATCAGGCAGGGTCAGCAACGAATCAGACAGGAACAGGACCAGGAACAGGAATGCAGGATATAGGGGCCCATAGAAAAACACACACCAAGGCAGAGACTGCAGGTCTGGCCATCCCTTAAATACACCTGCATGATCAGCTTCAGGTGTTTGGCTGGCTGCAGGGTTGAGTCTCTGATTGCTGGGAGCACCCGCTGGCCAGCCCTGGTACTGCAGCCCACAAGGCAAGTGAGTCCCACCATTACCTGCAAGTCCATTCCTGACAGTTAGGCTAGCTCACTTTTGGGCTCCCAGTAACCAGAATCAGTACTTAAAGGAGAAGTACAGCCAAAGAACTTTTGGCTGTATTCCGCTTGTGGATCACAGGAGTGCAGTTTGTTCTGCACTCCTGTGACCTATTTTTAGCCGACAGCGGGCTGAAGCCCTCTGTCGGCTGACGTCACTCAGTCTGGGGAAAGTTCCTGACTTCAAAGTCGGGATCCACCCCAGAGTCTGAAGGGGCACCTGGCTCAGCCTCTCAGCAAGCTTCTGAGAGCCTGAGCCAGTTGCTCCCTCCCTCCTCCACAGCCCAGTGCTACAGTGAGTGCTGCGGGGGCAGAGCAGAGAGCGGTGACTGACGGTCACCGCTCTCTGCTCAGAGTGGCTGTGAGAACTCAGTGATCAGCATTTATGTGATCTCTCAGTTCTCAAACTTAGAGCTGGCCGATGCTGCATCCACCTAGGTAAGTATAATTGGGGGAAAAAAAGTCCATACTTCTCTTTTAAATCTCTGAGGTTTTGGCAAGTTAGGTCCCATATAAAACCTATAAACACACAATGTGAAATAAACTCTTCTGCCGACTTGATGGAGCTCTTTACGTTAGTGCACAGTGGAGGTGTAGTCTGTTTTTCTTTATGTGAGATGTCACTTCCCTGGAGATGATGGCACAACAAGCAGAGTTCCCCTTTATTTTCAGAGACCGTAAGCTGTCTAGGGAAAATAAATAGGAGTTTATTTTGAATGTGTCAAAACAAGAGTATGGTGTATATTCCAACTGAAGAGGGGTGGAAGCAGAATTTAACAGAAGTGTGTCTCTTGAAATGCAGGGTTTCTCAAGTACAGGGCTTGTCTGGTGGAACTTGTTGCTTCTTTGAGTAATATAGGCCTTAGGTAATGCTTTTTACTTTTTTTTCTTTTACAGTTCCTAACAATTGGGCAAACAGGAAGTATTATATACAGTAGTTATAGATAGGCCACAACATGTGGGCTACAGGATTTGGGTCTCTATGTGGCAACCTGGGTTGTTAGAATCCTGGACCTAAATAACTGGCAACAGAAGCAACTGAATTTGTACCATGTAGTGGTGTGTTGTGGGTTAAGAACCCTCTCATCTGGTCCTTTAAATGTAGCTGTGCAAAGAGATGGCCTTGCTGTTGGTGGGGCCCTGTTCTTGCTGTCCTCCCAGAAAAAAAAAGTGGTGCCAGTGGCGATGTCTCTTTTTGCCTGCCTTCAGGACCAACTATCCTGCCTCTCTCAGTGTAATCAGCTATCTGGAAATCCCTTTCTTCATCACCTGGTACAGTTCAATCCAGACTGAGGCCTTCTGAACCAGCCCTCCTCTCTCACCCATGTCCTGCCTCTCTCTGTCTTTCTTTCTCCTCCTCTCAGCTTTTCTTTTTTTATATGCTCTCGCCCCATTGCTCACTCGCTTGAGATCTGTAGTTCTTTGTCAGCTGAGTAAAGAAATCCTGATTACCGCATTGCTGTGCGACTTTCTGTGTCAACTGGACTACAGAACACTGCCATGTTGTGGCTATTTAACAATCTACAATCAGTAACAATGCAGTGTTACACAGGCACGCACACATATAGATTTACAATATATATACACTGTATATGGTACCAGATGATTGGCAAAAGGGCCAGCATGGTACCAATATTTAAAAAAGAGCAGAGATACATTCTTGGAAACTACAGGTCAGTCAGTCTAGCATTGCTTGTATGTAAACGTTTGGAGCGTATGATAAAGGGACTATATCCAAAATTTTGCTGATGAAAATAGTATTATTAGTAGCAATCAACATGGTTTTCTGAAAGAAGTGAGCTACCATCTAATTAAAGGAAGGGCGGTCAATGTGGTGTACCTGGATTTTGCAAAAGCATTTGATACAGTTCCCCATAAGCACTTAATTTACAAACTTAGGTCTGTAGGCATGGACTAGTTGGTTTGTACATGGATAGAAAACTGATTACAGGAGCGTGTCCACAGGGTGGTGATTAATAGCATTTATGTAGAGTGGTCTGGAGTGGTAATTGGGGTACTCTAGGCAGGGTTGGGCAGAACGGGTGGCTGCCCTGGGCACAATGGTTTGCTGTAGGGATGGGGTTGCCTTCCTTCTGTTACAAGGCCGACAAGATTAGTGACAGTGGCAGTGATTTTGACAAGTGAATGACTGTTGGGCATAGGATCCCCTAAGCTTGCATATCATGAACCGGGAAAAGGGGGGGTTAGAGAGGCGCACTTTGGCATCTTTGCCCTGGTCATTGGATTACATTGTCCCAGCACTGACCTCAGGGTTCTATTCTGGGACCAATTCTTTTTAATTTTTTCATAAATACTATAGAGGTTAGTATAAATAGATCAATCTCAGTGTTTTCTGATGATACAAAGCTAAGTAGGACAATAAATTCACAGCAGGATATAGAAATTTTACAAGAAGACCTCAATAAAATTAAGGAGTGGTCAAATACATGGCAAATGAAGTTTAATGTTGAAAAATGTAAAGTAATGCACTTGGTGCAAAACATATGAATGCAAATTACACGTAAGGGGGGGAACCTCTGGGGGAATCTAGGATGGAAAAAGATCTGGGGGTCCTAGTAGATGACAGGCTCAGCAATGGCATGCAATGCCAAGCTGCAGCTAGCAGAATATTTGCATGCATAAAAAAATGGTATTTATTCCAGAGATAAAACTATAATCCTGTCACTGTATAAAACTTTGGTTCGGCCACATCTGGAGTATGCCTTCCAGTTCTGGTCACCTTTCCTCAGGAAGGATGTGCTTGAGCTGGAGAGAGTCCAGAGAAGGGCAACAAAGTTAATAAGGAGACTGGAGGACCTTAGTTACGAGGAAAGACTACAAACATTAAACTTATTCTCCCTGGAGAACAGATGCTTGAGAGGAGACATAATAGTGATATACAAACACCACATGATAGCGATATACAAACACCACAATGATGATTCTAGCATAGGGAATAAACTATTCAGTCTCAAAGAGTATAAGAAGATATGGGGCCACCTAATGAAATTGGTGGAGAAGTGGTTTAACCTTAAACTGTGTAGGATTTGTTTCACTGTCAGAGTAGTAGGGATGTGGAACTCTCTTCCACAATTGGTGGTGTCAGTGGGAAGTATTGAGGGTTTAAAAAAAACTCTTAGATTGGTATCTATACAGGGATATAGGATATGATTTTTGACATGAACACAAACACAACCACATAGTTTGAACTGGATGAGCTGGTGTCTTTATTCATCCTTACCAACTATGTAACTATACAGTATATATATATAGACCCCATAGTGTTTGCAAGACTGTCCAAGGCTGTGTGATGCTGACAATTTTTTTTTCCTTTCCTTATAAAGTGAACCCATGTTATTAGAGCAGATATCATGTAGTGCCTGTCCAAATCAATAGGCACTCTGTTATGCAACTATCCTCCATAGCCTCTTTGTGAAGTTCTGGCCTACTTCCTTCTAACCCTTCCTTTCCTAATGCCCACCATATGGGAGAAGCTGTTACATACATTTGTTAATCATTTTTACCAATGCAGCTAATACATAAATGTCACATTCACTGTATTGACATACTGTATCATTAGCAAAACCTTCTAACTATAAGGATACCATATAAGCACAATTGTACATAACATATATTTTAAATAACAGAGCAGAGTGGTAAGGCTAAAGCCAAAGCTGGCCAGAAGCTTTTTTTTTTTACCTTTCAATTTTACATAATGTATGTAAGAAAAATAATCTGTTCACAAAAATCATTTGTGTAACATTAGAATAGGTTTGAGTTAGACTTGACGTGCAGGCATGAAAAGATTTCTTCATCCACATGAATTCTGAATGACATTGTACACAGTTGAGCTCACACATTTGGTGCCAATGTCATATAGAGCCTCTGATTTATTATTTGAGACCAGGGGATAAATGACTGTGTATTTTTATTTCTTATATATATTTTATAATTTATTCATTAAAATAACCCTGTCATAAGAAAAATATAGAGCTTACTATTGCTGACTTCCTTCTAGTTGCGTGGCTGTTATACTGACCTGGTCTGCTTAATATAGGAGTGTAAATTGTGTGAATATTCACTTCTGTTGGCCAATCAAGTGCAAATTAAATAGGTAAACAGCAGTTTGCTATTTAAGAATTGAATGACTAAAGTGAATAATCACACAATTTATTATGTGAAGAATTCCTGCAAGCTGGGTACACATGGATCAACAATTGACCAGTTCAGCAGGAACTGGACAGACTTAGGACTATGTAGCCCTCCCTGTTCGGCAGAAGTGTCAGACGACCGTCTGTCAAACAGTTCTGCAGGAAAACCAGAATTCATTCAACCAGTGCTGATTAGTCTGTTCTGACAGATGGGATGGAGCTACCACTGTCAGAAGACAATAGCACAGAGGGGGAGATCATTGCGTCCCAGGGGCGGACTGACCATTTGGAAACTTGGGCACTGCCCGAGGGCCAGGGGTCAGTAGGGGGCCCCATGAGATGCCCCTGGTACCTTTTTCATAGGCTTTTTTGAGTTTGGGCAAGGACACAGGGGCCCCATGATCCCCTATTGCCCGGGGGCCCCATGAGTTGTCAGTCCACCGCTGTTGCATCCCCATCACTTGTTCAGCCTGACGGTTGAACGAAAAAAAAAAAAAAACACGGGGAGATTTACTAAAATTGGAGAGTACAAAATCTTGTGCAGCTCTGCATAGAAACCAATCAGCATCCAGGTTTTATTGTGAAACCTTAATTGAACAAGCTGAAGCATGAAGCTGATTTGCTACCATGCACAGCTGCACCAGATTCTGAGTGCTCCAGTTTTAGTAAACCTCCTACATAGTGTGTACTCAGCTTTAGTTAATCAGCCTAAACCTCAAGACTTAAAGAATAAGTACACAGTTTGGACAAAAATAATAAATGCACATTTTTTTGCAGGTAAAAAAATGTGCATTTATTATATCTGTTCTAAGGAGTCTGGAAAGCATTGTACCATCAATCAGTAGAACACTGATGCCATGCAGGTCTCCTGCACACCTGTCAGAATATCTGCTTGCCGTACAGGATGTACGGCCAAGCAGATATTCTGATAGGAAGCTTCAATGAACTACCACAGTGCTCCACAGTGCCATGGTAGTTCATTGAAAACTACAAGCCCACAGCCACTAAGGCTGTCTGGACTTGCAGTTCATTCATTCTTGTGAATGAATGACGTGGCCTTGTGGGCGGAGCCCCGCATGGCTGCGCTGTTTTAAAATCTGACAGTACGGGGAAATTATTATTAAATGTATTATTAAATGTATTAGCTGTCAGAGGAAGGGAGGGAGAGAGAAAGCGAGAGGGAGGGAGAGAGGAAGTGAGAGGGAGGGAGGGGGAGAGGAAGCAAGAGGAGGGAGGGAGAGAGAAAGCGAAGAGGGAGGGAGGGGAGAGAAAGCGAGAAGGGAGGAAGAGGGAGGGAGAGAGGAAGCGAGAGGGAGGAGGGAGGGAGAGAGGAGGAGAGGGAGGGAGAGGGAGGAAGAGGGAGGGAGAGGGAGGGGAGAGGGGGAGAGGGAGGAAGAGGGGGAGAGGAGAGGGAGAGGGAGGAGAGGGAGAGGGAGGGAGGAGGAAGAGGGAAGGAAGAGAGAGGGAGGGTGCAGCTGCAGCTGCAGCATTGGGAACATGTTACATGTTCCACCCTCAAAACAGGTAGAGCTTGTCCTTTAATACTTCTGAGTTACTGACCAGGAGTAAATATGCAGGTCAGACAAGAGCTTTGCCATGCTCAAAGTTGGCTTCTGGAACTTACAGGAAATATTGATGACAGTGGAAAGGACATCACCTGGATTTCTCACACAACCACAATGCAAGAAAGCTGTGGTCACTCTTAACAGTGCACTCTGCAGATATATCAGAAGGTGATCAGTTCACCACTAGACCCTCTGTTCCAGCTGGCTCCAGTCCCGAACCTTACTGCACCCTCCCCACAAATGGCGTTAGCATTGTGAAATGCAGCCCCAGCATATTTTAAAAATGACAGCTGGGACATAGGTGGTTTAAGTAGATCCAAACCCAATCATTAAAATCTCCTACAGTATAACATTGCTTTATGTTAGTGTAATTTCAAAAGTAGTTAGGTTGGTATGGTTTGGCAAAATGAATTGTCATGGACTTAGGGTTTAAATCTACTTTAGCACAGAGCAACAGGCTGTATGACAAAGGTAAATATGATGTGAAATAACTATATTTCTGTACAAGTCTGGGAACTATAACATATATTTTGTGAGCATTGTTAGAAGTATCTATAGATTTAATGGTCCCCTAAAAAAGAGAGAATATTACCGTGAATACTGCGGTAAACAATAAATATTTTCAGCTGCCGTACATGGCAGGCAGATCAATTTCAATCTACCAAATTACGCTCTGCTGTGTTATATCACTCATGGCATAATTACCTAGAAAGAAATCAACACAAATGATTCTGTGCACCAAGACCATTCACACCATTTGTATAACAGTGACAATAAGCAAATCAATACACAGGCAGATTCATATTCAATACAGCAGCAGGTGATGCATGTAGGGTGCAGATTTCAAAAGACTGTATTGGGGAAAAAAAGCTTTTCCTGCATTTAGGCTTTATATTTTTTTAAGTTATAATTTCATGTGGCATTATACCCTGCAGTTATTACTACAGCTTGTGTATGGTAGTTTACTTTAATGCCGATTGATTTTAGCCTGAACTATGATTATATCCTTCATGTTGTTTGTGTGATGCAGCTCCAGACACTTCAATGAAACAATTAGAACATCAATACTGACAGGGGTCCAGCTTATCAGTAAATAACACTCTCCAATATTCCAACCATTCCAGTGAAAACCAGAGTTAAAGAACCCCTCCAGTCAGGATGAAAATTGCCGCCAATTTTACACATTATCAGTCACACTAAAGTAGTTTATTTTGGTGAGCCACAGAATATTTGCACCAGAAATGAATGATCAGTTCCCAACAGGTAGCAGGCATACAGTTTTCCAACTGGAGCTTTGAGTACCAATGTTGCAGACCACTATAGGGGAGTATTTTTTTCTCTGAACCCTAATAATGACTGGCGAATAGCTACAATCAGAGGTTTTAAAAACCACTTGCTTAAACAATATATACCTCCATGGTTAAAGAGATAGCATTTTCAAGTAGTGGCTAGTAGTTACTAGAATGGATCCCTGGGCTAGAAGTTTGGATTTTGCAGAGATGGACAATGGGGTTGAATTACTAAAGACAAATACACTTACCAGCCACTTTATTAGGTACACCTTGCTAGTATTGGGTTAGACCCCTTTTTGATTCATAACTGCCTTAATTCTTTGTAGTACAGATTCAACAAGGTGTTGGAAACATTCCTCAGAGATTCTGGTCCATATTAACATGATAGCATCTCACAGTTGCTGCAGATTTTTCAGCTGCACATGATACAAATCTCCCATTCCACCACATCCCAAAGGTGCTCTATTGGATTCAGATTTGGTGACTGTGGAGGCCATTGGAGAACAGTGAACTCATTGTCATGTTCAAGAAACCAGTTTGAGATGATTTGAGCTTTGTGACATGACGCATTATCCTTCTGAAAGTAGCCTTCAGAAGATTGGTACACTGTAGTCATAAAGGGATGAACATGGTCATCAACAACACTCAGGTAGGCTGTGGCTTTTAAACGATGCTCACTTGGTACTAAGGGGCCCAAAGTGTGCAAAGATCATTTCCCACACACTATTACACCACCACCAGCCTGAACCGTTGATACAAGGCAGGATAGATCCATGCTTTCATGTTTTTTACTCCAAATTCTGACCCTTTCATCGGAATGTCACAGTTGAAATCGATACCCATCTGACAGGCAATGTTTTTTCCAATCTTTTATTGTCCAATTTTGGTGAGCCTGTGCGAAATGTAGCCTTTGTTTCCTTTTCTTAGCTGACAGGAGTGGCACCCTGTGTGGTTTTCTGCTGCTGTAGTTGCCCATCTGCTTCAAAGTTCAACCTGTTGTGCATTCATAGATAGTATTCTGCATGCCGTGATTGTAACGAGTGGTTATTTGAGTTACTTTGTCTTTCTATCATCTCAAACCAGTCTGCCCATTCTCCTCTGTCCTCTGACATCAAAAAGGCATTTTCATTCACACAACTGACGCTCATTGGATATTTTCTCGTTTTTGGACCATTCTCTGTAAACCCTAGAGATGGTTGTACATTAAAATCCCAGTAGATCAGCAGTTTTTGAAATACTCAGACCAGGCTTTCTGGCTCTAACAACGATGCCACATTCAAAGTCACTTAAATACCCTTTCTTCCCCATTCTGATGCTCGGTTTGAACTTTAGCAAGTTGTCCTCACCATGTCTACATGTCTAAATGCATTGAGTTTCTACCATGTAATTGGCTGATTAACAATTTGTGTTACCGAGCCATTGAACAGGTATACCTAATAAAGAGGCCAGTGAGTGTAGCCTGTGCAAGGGAAGTTTCGCCAGCACTTTGTGAATGAGGTGAAGCTGTGTTGCCTTCCATCATTTAATCATGTGAAAGCATAAATGCTGCTTTTTTTTATTTTACTTGCAGGTGATTGCATATTCTCTGGGAAAGCTTCCATTGCAAAGTGCAACTTCACCTGCAAAGTGAACAGCCTATTTGCCTTTAGTAAATCAACCCAATGCATCTAGGCGAGGCACTCTGGATTGGAGGTTGTTAAGAGATCAGAACAGAAAGGAGAGTATGGAGGGTGAAACATTGTTAGCTTCTGAATCCATCATGCCATAGTTACTCTTCTATACTCAGAGTATTGCTGCTTCTTAGAGAAGTGTTGACAATAAGCAAGGTATAGATAAGCAGTAGCCAAGTACTGGACTGCAACTACCACCTCGAAGCAGCTGATGTATGGGTCCCCTGCTTACGGATGACAACGACCCTTCCAGCAAGGCCACTCCCTCTGACACACCAAGGCTGAAGAAGAAGGATTTTTTTTTTTAGATAGACACCCTCTAAGCAATGATATACAGCAATAGTAATGAACAGGTACAAAGTAAAACAGATTTGTATAATACAACAAAATAATGAGAGAACCAAGTGTCTCTGTAACTGAACCCTGAATCTAGGAAGGTCCTAACTAAAGTGGTGGTACTGAAAACTAGAGGGTTCTTCAGTCTCTCCAAATCACTCCCACTGACCAGTGTACTATCAATCTTTTAAGTCCAAAGTGTTGGCATTGCAGAGGTCAGAATTGATTGGATCCCACAGTGCAAGTTGTAAATACTCAAATTGTATCTTAAGGTAAGGCGACACTGTCCCTTTAAGAAGTGGGAAAGAAAGTCGTGGCCAGCGGCCTCTCACCACCAAGCAGTCTATGATTACACCTCCGCCTTCTCTCTAGAATTTGGAACCAGTGACATCAGCGGTGACTCAGGAACCAACAATGATGATCTCTCACAGAACTGGCAGAATGCAACTGAGAACCCAGAAATTACATTTGCTCTCAGAGCTGGTGATGTCAGTGGTGACTTAGGATACAGAAATGACGATCTTTCACAAAAACATGTAATATCTGTGGTGACCCAGTACCTGGAAATGGCAATCTCTCATGGAACCAGTGATGCTCTCCGATGGCT